TTTTTTTTAAAAAAAAAGCCGAATTTGACACAGTCAATGAGGATGGTTTAACTCTATTTTTGTTTCCAACTTAAAAGTGAAAACTCGGTGTAAAATTTGCAGAAATTGTATTTTAATGCTTGAGAAGTTTAAAAATATTGAAAACAGATCATATGGTCTGTCTGTTAAGAGATTGCAAGATAGCAAGATAATAATGACTTCTTGTTTGCTGTGAAGTCATCACATGACAGTCATGAATTTATATCATTAGGAAGATATTCCTGCTACAGATAAGTATCACTGACTGTGAAAAGTTGGTAATTGTGAAAAGATGTGATATGAAATGATAAGTAATAATCTCTGCCTTTACTATGGCTTCTTTTAAAAATAAATCGCAATTTGAAAGAAACGAGTTATGTGGCGTATACACCTTAGAATAAGGCACTGTTTCTTAGTATTTTAAATTTCAATGCAAAATTAAATTATCTAAATTGAGACTTTCACTAATTTATGAAAATTGTTCTATTCTCTAAAGATAATTTATAAAGACAATATATAATTTATAAAGACAATATATAAAATCACGAGTGCTGCGCAAGCGCTTTTCTTTTGCATTATTTTGACACAACTTTTCCACATTTCATCGATGGACGAAGAATCTAAGAAAAACGAAATTTCGGTATCGGAAATTTTGATAATTGCTACTACCACTGTTCAAAAATTAAGTGATGTTTGAAAAATTAACTTATTGATGCAAAATCGGTCGATAAAGTTTAAAACTACTTTATGAGTTGATAGAAAAAGGAGGACTTGAAATGTGCAAACAAGTGATTCGTCCACATTCATCATCGCAGCTGCATTATCAAACTGCCCGCAATAATGAGGCGCAGAAAAGATTGTTACCAATTTACGATTTGCAAAAAATTCATAACCGTCCTGCAGAAAAAAATTCATTCATTTCAGTGAATAACTGATAATTTATTTCAAGTTTGCTTAAAGTAAGAGATTAATTGAGGAATTTTATATTAACTTGATTAATATGAGTTCATTAACTATGAGTAATTCGTTAATTTGTTCATTTAAAGAAATCTTATAATAAAGTACTTGAACAACTTGATGAGCCCGTGCAATCAGGTCAATATCTAATTTTTGGCACATTTCTATGACAACATCAGGACCGAATGTATATGATAATCCACGATTGTTTGCTTGCCATCCTTTTGCAGATGGATCTGGATCAGACCTTTAAAATAGTTTAGGAATATCCACTACAGTTTTTAAAAAAAGTAAAGGACACGAATGGAATTAGCATATTGTTAGAAAATCTAACAGCAAAATTTGAACTTCAAAATTTATACATGTAGACGTACAGTAGTGAATTTCAAAATTTTTTTCATTTCTACAAATTGTATAAGTTGCATGCATGTTCTGCAAGATCAATCTTTCTATTTTTTGAATACTAATTACAAAGAATTATAGAATAGGAACCATAACAAATCAATGTGAATAGATGGATTTGGAGGATCGATAGGTCGAGTAATTTGTCGAAGCTGATCGATACTTTTCAATTGCGGTGACAGACCACCATGCATGCATAAAATTTTACCAGCAATTAGGCCCGTAAACGGCATCGTATTGAATACTTCCTGAATGTGGACAATAAATTTAAAAAAGCGAGACTTAAAAAAAACGAAGTTAAAATAAGTTAATCGTAGAATGTGCAACATTAGAAAGCAAAGCAACAGTTGAAAGTTGACTGAATTATATTTAAAATCAAATTTGAGAAATCTTAATGATGAAATAAAGAAAATTTTTGAGAACCTGAAATGTTTGCCACAACCGTACACTTTGATAGCGACGATTACATTCTTCGAAGAAGCCATAGACTCGATTGATAACACTACATTCGTGATTACCGCGAAGCAGGAAAAAATTCTCCGAATATTTCACCTCAAAAATACCAAAGATTTTGTAAATGATGAACTGTAAAAAAAAAAGATGAAATGAGTTAAAATATGAAATCCAGAAAATTTCGTGAATTTAATAAGTCTCAAATAAAGCAATAATTGTAACTGAAAAATATGCCAAGAATTTTTTTCTTGTCGAAAGAAATTGATAGAAAATACTTTGTAACAAAGAAGTAGAGATATGGTTTCGAGGTTTTGTCTTCCACGATCAACATAATCGCCGAGAAACAAATAATTAACAAAAGGTGGGAAGCCACCGCGATCGAATAATCGAAGTAAATCTGCAGTTAAACAAAATTCTAATTTGCAATCCTTTCATTATTATCATAATGATGCTTTCTCTATTACTCGTTACGGATAAGAAAATTAACAGATAAGGTTATTGTTAAAAGAAAGCAGAAGTTCAACTTATATTTTAGCATAGTGAAAAAGAAATCAGAGTTCGTATCTAGAATTAGCGCATTCTACTACGATAAAACATGATCTGTAATCTTAACTTGATTTAAAAAAAAGTTGTTTTTCAGGATTATTATTCTTTGATAAAAGTAAAAAATGAATCGGTAGATGATTAAGATTTAATTTAACCAATATTCCGTGGTTAAATTGAAGAAATATTGTGTGATATGTTGACCCGCATATTGGCCGTGTATGTCGCCGCAAATTCGGATCGGTGGATCAACCTCAATCAATGAATTTTGCGACAGGAAAACTTCCTTAGCGAGGGAACACAAATGAATAATTTCTTGCTCTTTAACTGTCTTCGTCAGACTACATCCCGGGCTGCCAACATTCAATAGCTTGCAAATTAATTCGTCCAAGTCCAACTTTTGCGCCATATCTGATATTTTGTAGAAGTCAATGTAACACCGCCTTCAGTCATATTTCTGAATTAATTACATAAAGCTTGATTTATTTATTTCAAATGTTAATTGCAACTTTCATTTATCCATATTCACCAACTTTTATCTTGAAGGACAACTAGCAAGCAAGCAATTCAAGAAGAGGAGAAATGTGATAAAGTGATAAATTGAAAAAGTCTAGAAACATTATTCTGAATTATTTGCGGAAATTTATTGGTATAATTCATCCATAAACTAAAAACAAATTGGACTACTCCAAGGATGTCGCACGAAGAAAACAATCTGAATTCGCACCGGAAACAACAACTGCACGAAAGCTTACAAAAACATGAAATGATGATAGGTAATTGGTTCCATTAATTTATAGATTTCAAATATATGCTAAATTTCCGAAAGTTATTAATATTAATGCGGAATCTTGGAGAAGGCGAAATAAAGGAAATAAGTGAGATTTCCAAGCATTGCTAAAAAGGATTAGTAAAAATAGAAGTAAATTACTCCCCGTGACTGATAATCATCAATATAAAAAAAATATGTGTAGAAGAAAAAATTTCAAATTTTTATTTCAAATTAATTCGATTTTTCAGTAATTTTACCAAATTTCAGTTGTTTAAAAAGCTTCTTCGAATATATTATATCAGAATAGTTGATATTAAAAATATCATTGTACATTATTGAAATGCTATAAGCAAGTAAGCCAGCAACTGTTAGAAGTGACTATTTTTTAATCAGAACTTATCTCCATATGAACTCAGCAAATAGCTATAAAAATAACGAATTGCCATGTGCTAAAAATGATTACAAGAGCAGTGGTGGTGACAAGAAACGGTAGTCATGATATGTTGATACTACACACTGCCAGTCGCTCAGATCGAAACAATATGATGAATGAATTAAAAGCTATGAAGAAAATAACTTCATCTGCGAAAGTTGTTTTAGTAGCCGACGCTATAGTAGGCTAAGATGCAATCAGTATCGCCAAGTCATTTGATAGAACAATAAGCGTCACGGCACGGTTCTCACCCACTTGATGATGCACGCGATTTGATGGTTTCATTGTTTAGACCATGCAAATATTTGAAAGCTTGCTGCACCGCTTCTATATTTCCTTTTCTCAAATATCACAATCTTTATATTATTTGTTCCTTTAATCAGCTTTTTATCAAAATATCCTTCACAAATCAATGCATTCGGGATTTTCCGCCCTCTTATCAATGAATTGTATTGTTGCACAAAATATCATGCTCTTTAAAATTAAAATCAATATCATGTTATTTAAAATTAGAAACAATATCATGCTATTTGAAATGAAGAACAATTGTATTATAATGAAAACATAATGAAACAATTTGAAAAATTGTGAAAAAATTTTTGTCACCGTTTCAGAAAAATGTCTCTTGTAACATCAAACATCACAAGTCATTAATATAGAACTAAAATAATTATTGAAGTACTGTATGAGTACCTTAATAACAGTGGCACTAAAGCAGTAAATAATAGTAACTCGACAATTTCAGAGTTTAATCAACCCAAAAAGATTGAGTTTTTTCTCATGAAAAAAAATAGTTATCTGTGATTGAATTATTAATTCACAATACCAATGAGATTTGACAAATTATCCAAACAACATTTGGAAAAAACTTCCTTTTTTCAAATTTAAAACACATATTGATGCATTTCGCTCCGAAATACTACGAAATCTCAGTCCATCGATTCGATGTGCAACATTAATAAGTAATTTAAGCTTGGTTTAGTAGATATGAATATCATTGCTTCCATTTCATTGTCATATTTTAATCCTGAGAATTTCGCATTTAAATTTCAACTTCAACAAACCAATAAATGAGCGACCTCCCGTTCACCACCGGAAATGCAACTAATCACGCATTCCATTCCTCCCGGCTAGGAAAACTTCCACGGAAAGCAAGTGTTGCATGCCCTATCGCATGCTACGTTGAGTGATATGAAATATGAAATAGCGGTGATTTGTTCTTCGAGGTTTGTAGGCTTCATATGAATAGTAAGGGTGAAAGTTGAACTTTAGTTTTATAAATTAGACGAGAAAGAAGACCACCGCGCAGAATTTTAATTTTATGAAATTTAATGAGAAAGTAGGTACATGGAATCTTAGTTTTGTAAAATTTTGAAAGGGGATGATTATGTAGATTGATCAGTTTTGTACTGATGACTTATTCCGTTTTCGGTGCTTATTAACTCGTCGAAACTTTTGTAACTAAATGATTAGTAGAAATTATTCCTTTTACTAGTCTTTTTATTTTTGCTTTTGAATACTTCATTTTGATAACTGTAAATGAGTCCCATTAATTTATTACAGATTAAAGAAGGATTCCACTCTATATGATAATGGTTTTTTCTATTATCTACCCTGTTTGAGATTTATCGTGCATAGTTGTTACTTTACATTTTTAGGATTTGATGGCAGAATCTTCGCGGATCTCATCCTTCTGTTTTTTGTTTAGTAGAATGATTCAGAGCACATCACTGGCAATCAAATTAAGTTTTTATCGAAAAAATCGTCAATACTGCACTGTTCGTTTATCGTTTCTGGTGCTGCTTGTAAATAAAAATGGACAGTTATATGTGCTTTCCTTTGTAATGGTTCTCAACATCAAATATCTCAATATTCGATAGGTCTTTTATCTCTGAAGATCGTATAAGACAATAGAATATCACTCGCACATTGTCTGCTTTATTAACTTAATCCATTGGTTTAAGATGTTTAGGTGGGGGAGTCCGATCGAATATTTCACTAAAATTGTGTGGGAGAGAAGGAATTTTTCGAGCAATGAATGGTTTTAAACAAGCAAATTTATTCATCCATTACAGAAAAGCAAAATTACTGTTACGATACCCCGTGGTCTGCAGCCTTCATCTCGGTTTATCGCAAAATCTGAAAATAACAACAAATTTTTACGCCTTTTATTGGAATTGGAACTGCTGTATGGAATTGCTGGAACGAGATTACCGACTTATTTCACAGATAGCGACTGGATGAAATATATTCAAATGACCAGTATTATCGAAAGATGTTGCTATTTGCATCAACTTTATGAAAGTAGGAAAAAAATTGAAGAGAAGCAAGAAATGAAGGTATGCTCATTAAGTTATCGATTTTGAAAAGCCAAAGAAAAGTAAAAGAGAACAGAATTGCAATGATAACAGTTTAGTAGTAGCAGTAAGATATCAACAGTGGATAGATGTAGAAGATTCGTAGTGTTAGCAACTTCAATTTTTTCTCTTCTTCTTCGCAATCCACCATTATTACTCCATTCATTTTTTTAACTGGAGTAGTATTGTTGTTCTGGCAATATTTTAAGAAAATTTTCGTTTATCATATTTTGTTTTACATTCTAAAAAGCTTCTACATGAAACCGAATATTTCCTATTCTATTTTTCAGAAGCGTCGAGATACGGAAATTGCTCATAATGGACGCTTTCCTATCAACACTCTTTATTACTTTGGAAGAGAAGATTTCAAAAGTAATTTGTTTAAATAATTTCATGTAGTTTCAACGAATTTTATCCCTCTTTTAAGTTATTACGTATTGCTCTCAATATCAAGATTTGCTTGTACAGGTTGACACTTATAAAGCGCATACATATTCAGAGTTTCTGTAAGTGCACATTAAGAAAAAATCAAGAACGAAACTGGATTTCAAGGAATGAGTGGAAGTCTTTAAACAAAAGCGGTCATAGAAAGCCATTATGCAAAATCTTTCAATAAAATAATACATTTTGAAGGATTTGCTTACGAAATATTCGGTTGTCGGTTATTAGCTGCATGGCGTTGCAAAGATTCGTTTCCGCCATTGTTAGTTGATTGCTGTTACTTAGCCGATTTGAATCATTCGACACGGAGAACTCTAGTAAAGTATTCATTATACTTCATATGAAATTTAAAGTAATTAAACGCAAATAAAGTAAATAAGTAAATGAAAAAAGCAATGACTTTTTTTCATGCCATGTCATTACTCAGTGTTTTCCGGTTAACTCTCACTCTTAAAGAATGCTATATTAATTTTGGAATTTTTTTTCATTTTATTATGATATAAGCAACGAAAAAGTTTTCTTTCTTATGCTGTTTGGTAACGACTGATTTATTAGGTGCTTTAATCGATCATCATTGTTATATACTTTGATTTGACTCAGTCGGTCAACGATCATTATAAAAATACTCAGTGGATCAGTCATAAGAAAAGAAGTAATATTCCTCGAAGTGAAGCAAATTTTTTTCATTTAATGGAAAAAAAATTGTGATAATTGGTGAGAGGAAGATAGTATAAGGGAGATTTTCAAACTGCACTATGTGATTTTAGGCAGATGAAAGATCTGGTGCTTGACAACAGCTTGCAGCGAAATCCGTTTCCAGTCGTTTTTGTAAATTATCGCACTACAATTAACATCGCTGAAGAGATTGTGAAGTAAGTTTCAAATCATGATTTTTTTTGAAATTCGTATGAATAGTATGGGTAGTAGCATTATCTATAATAGAATGAAAATTTAAATATTGTTTGATTACTTCATACAAAGGTCCACCTTCCACAAGTAGAATATTTTTGTCGTAAGTGGCCGGAAGAACAACATTTTAAAAAATCTGAGTTTGACCCAAAGCATGGCTAATATTTAGTTCTTGGCTTCGGAAGCGTTGTTTGCCAAAATATCGCCCGTCCACTGCTAATGGAAGTGAAGAAGGGCCCGAAGAACTTTCCGATGATAAAAGTTACAAAGAAACTAAGAATCGTACCTGTGCTCCATTTATTCCTGTTGTTACATCAGCAACAGTTCGTGAATGCCTTGGCTGCACTAGCCCTGGTATGTTTTAATTTTTAACGCTTCATTTTACAACCTTTTTCTGCTTCTTTGTGAGCTTGAATCTGAGTTATATCGATCCTTACCTAAATCAGTCTCTTATTTATAGGAACATAACCTTCAACTGAACTAATTCGTTTATAGGCATTTTCTTATTTTTAGGAAATTATAATTTCCAGTGAAAGCGAAATTAGCATTCGTTCTTGTACAACGCCAATTCTAACTACGGTTCAAATCCTAATGAACACTATTATTAGCTATCCAGCTACTTATACAAAAAATCTATTTTCAGAAGAAATTGCTTATATTAACCCGCGAGCTGCAGAATATTTACCACTCCCGCTTTCGAAATATAAAGCATTCGTGTTGTGCGCCACTCCGGACAATAAATTAATGAATTCTGCTTTTCAGGCGGCCAAAACTGAGCAGTTAAATTCTTATAAACTGCCCATCACTAAATTTTTGAAGTAAAAAATCACTTATATTAGCACAGTAGCAGACTGTACTAAACGTTCTTCCTTGCTTTTAATACATAAGTGACAATCATGAGAGTATCTTTTCCGATAGATTCAAAATTTGAAAATATATTACAGTCTGGGCCAAACAGCGGTTACAATGCCCCTGCGGATCACAGCAAACATAATTCGTGACGTTTACGCAAGAGATTTTGAGTGGAGAACGGCATTCGACAAACACATACCTTATTTCAATATATTGGCTAGTGATATGTATCGAAACCACGATAGTGATAAAGATACTCTTCAGGCACTTTTTATTTCAGTACTTCTTGTTTAATTTTGCAAAATTTAAATTAAGATAAATTCCTCGATTAGATATTCCAAACGATAAGATCAAAAATTAGTTTTTCGAACAAAATTCAGCATTGACACTAAGCCATGAGAAATGAGCAATTCACTACTGTTACTTTTTCTCGTTTTATAGTCATTTGATTTAATGACTTAATCTAAAGATAATTATACATGTTTTCAGCATAATATTGCATTTTTTACTCCAATGAGGTTTGGCAGTTGCATCAGGTCAATACTTTTCCAGGTTATAGAACAATGGCTTTCGGATGCTGAAGGAAGAGGGAAAAGGAAACGAAAGTTTTTTCATTCATACAGTCGGGAAGAACGAAGGGCGATACGGGCCATGCTTGCAGAACAAAATCTGTCGAGAGGATTCAATTAGATTTGATCAGTGATCAGGAGACATAGGAATGAATGAGAAAATGAAGTAGTGAAAGAAGTAAAACGAGCAGAAAATGCGGAATCATTTTAAAAATAACGTACTTCCACAGATGAAAGACTTACTTGTGTTGTCAATTCGCTAGAAGTCTTTTAATTCATTTCTCGTAAAATCTCTTTAAAAAACATGATAACGCAAATAAGACTGGCGTATTAAAAAAAGTTATACAGAAAAGAAGAAACTTTTTGAAAAATTGTTCTCAACTACAATATAACCAACATAAATTTGTTGGAGATAAATTAATGCACGTTGGATTAAATTTATCGAAGGGAAGCAGTAGCAAGCCCATTTAGGTCGAAACTTTATTATCAATAGAACAAAACGATTATGCCAGATTTTTCCGGAAAATAAATTCAGAAAGTGTAAAAAATACAGGTCAAGAATTGATGAAATTGATGCACCCAAGAATAATCCGATCGCTTCTACGATTGTTTGAGCAAATCTACTAGGCCTGATGAGTTTTTAATGGTATGACTGAATAGTATAACTCTTAACATTTCAAATAAAGATCGAAATGCAAATGACAAGCAATATTACAAATGGAGCTTGCAAAAATTTTTGAACTCATCAAACCATTCGTTCAGAACTGCAAGCTTCATTAATCTTTACAGTTAAACTATCAACGAATGATTACTAAAAAGTGATAATGAGTGGAGAGACTAGATGACCATAGGGACTAGCTTTAATAAAATGAAGTTGCCAAATTCTTTCTCGGTTTAGGACTTTTTCGAAAGCCATAAATTCATAGAAAGGATAAGTCTCGTACTTGTATTTACTAACTGCAAAAGAGTTGGGAGTGTAAAGTTCCGTGCAAAAAAAGTGCCTAGAGATTTTTATCTATTTAGATCTGCTGACAAGTAGTGCGTCACTCCGCATACAGTTGGTTACAAATGCGGTGGAACCTTTTGGTAGTACACCAACTTTTTGTGCTAAATCAGCAAGTCGATTTGCCTGTGAACTTTTTTGCTCGTCGTCAATGGTCTGCAAAATTGTTAGCATTAAAAATAATACCCAGTGGAGGAAATAGTTTACAAAAAAAAGTAGTGTGGATCATTACAACGTCTGATCAGCGAAGGTAAGAAGCTATCTCGATGTAGGCTATTTAAAAATATGATTAAAAAGCGGTTCCATCCGGATCGATAAATGATAAGGCTGTTATGTTTGAAAAAATACCTACTTTACGTGTAACCACTCGATATACAAGTCCATCTTCACCAACGTAAAATACTGTGAGACCATCGTACCATTTCAACTTAAACATGAAGTGTGAATTCTCGGAGAAATTTCACTATTTGTCTACTTCCTGCAGTGATGAAGAACTTTCACTGTTCACGAATAAGCTTAGAAAAATATCATAAAACCAAGAAAATACCCTTTTGATACGGTATTCATATTTAAACATCATGGGATTCAACAAGGCTTGTATCAATGAGACATGTTTTATACGCCATCTCAACCGTACTGTTCCATCTTCTGAGATCGGTAAAATATTCAAAACCTGAAACAACAGAACAACAAAAACTTCTATTCGAGTAACTAATCACTACAAGCACGCTCAAAACTATAAACAAAATAACCAGAAAATGGACTTACCTCCATCTCTATGTGAGGAAAACAAAATAGACATATTACACTAACAGAACCGAAATATACCATGAGTTTCTCTCGACCCCTAAAAAAATATCATGCAACGTAAGGAAGTGTAACTGGCTGGTTTCCTGAAAGCGGATCTGCACACTCGATACAATCTGTGATAAAACAAACAGCCTTCAAATGATTTTTTCGCTTAATTCGTCTAATAACCAATCATTAATTCGAAAGAGAAATGCCAAGCCCAAGAAATTCTCAGCTTATTAGGATCCATTATGTTAAATGTTTATTTCAAACACCGTTTTGGTTTACACACTTTTAAAATTATGCGAACTTCTCCATCAAATCTCGATATTGCATCATTCATACGAAAAATAACTATCAGAACAAAATGACTCACGTAATAGTCATCTGAAAAATCTCATCCCTGTACACCACATCCGGCCTATAAAATGTATAATCAGGTTGTTCCCGAAAGAATCGAGGAGCCTGAAATAAAACATCTATTCATATTTTTTTATATATCATGTTAGCGTTTTTGCAGCTAAACATGAAAGGTTCAGTAATACTATAAAACTAATAAGGGTCAAAGACACGAACAATAAATTCAACAGAAACTTCAAATTATTTTGAGTCATTTGTTGATAATAATAAAGTTTTTATACTGCACTTCATATTTCAAGATGTCCAAAGCTTTCATAATGCACAAAAATCTCCAAGAGGTGCCTCTTCAAATAAGCAGAGAACATAAATTCTTCAAAAATTTCGCCTCGGAAAATCTAAATAAAATGAAAAAAAGTTTAAAAAAAATTGTTACCGTCATTTCTATTCTTTTCCGTACATGTTCCAACTGGAACATTTCCGGTCCTCTGTTACCTTTTCCAGTGCTATATGCACGTGAAACTAAAAAATAAGTAGAGGAGGGAGCAGCAAGGTGGAGTAAATATCGCAATATCGTTCGCATTTGTACTGTTGTTGCTAAAGCTGCAAGGAAGCATATAAATTCATAAAAACATGCTTAAATTAAAATAAAAATATTGCCTGCCAATCAAAAAGCATGAGAAATTCCAAACGCTATAAATTGAAAAATTGAAATAGAAAAAAAAGTAGGAAGTAAGCGATCCAGAAAGTCAACACTTCAGAATACAGAAACTTTATCCCTTGTAACTAGAAAGTTGTGGTCTTTTTTGGCAAAATATCTTGAATTCAATGACTTATAACACAGAACCAAAACTTGAGATGTTCAAAAACAATAGACTGATAGATTTAAAAAATGAAGTTTTTAGTAGGATAGAAGAGATGAGAAAATGAGCAAAAATTATAACATAAGAATATTCACTTTAGCATATTAGCCTCTAAAAAAAGTAAGAAACCACGACGATTTTTGATGGAAATTGAGAATTTCTGTAACATGTGTGAAATTAACTTTCTCTAGGAAACTAGAGAGAAAAAAAGACGTGAAAAAGAAAGAGAATTAAAAGGAGTTATGATCAAAATCATCATCCCATACACAGATATTTCACTGCTGACCTTCGCCATTTTCATTTTTCGCAGCTTCTTTTAGTTTTGATAGAATAGAAGCATCTTCATGATCATTCCGAGTTATCTTCAAAAATTTAATTAGATTATTAAAGATTTGAGGAAAACAAGTGTTAAAATAATAAAAATATCAAAAACTGTTTACCCAATGAAAAATTTTCGAAATTATTTATAAATTCTAAGCAAAAACTGCAAACAGTTCAACCCTATCGAATTTTTTAAATAACTTACCGGGCGGTTATTAATTTTGTAAATATATCCATCCTTATTAAGATGAATATCTAGCGCTCCTTCAACGGTATCTGTTTGCTGCAGTAAACAAAAATTAATAAGAAAACAAAAAAAATTAATTTGATACAATGAACTTCGAAACCAGAATATAGCATTCACTGCAAAGACAGAAGTGCTTATCAACTTCATACTTGATGATATAATTTGATCGCCATCATCCGCCAAAGAACTACAACGACATCACTGTTTTCATAGATGCATGATCCCAGTTTCTAGAAAGCAAATATTTTGTAAGAATGTAGTGCTTCATAATACCATGCAGTATATATCAGGTGTCAACAGGAGCGATTTTGGATCTCAGAAAAGAAACCATACCTCAAATTTGCTTGTCGCTTGCATTACATTAAAGTATAGCTTCGAAAGCGAAATACATCTTACAAATTTCTCTATGCCTCTGCAAATACAAAAATTAATTAGAAATTCACAAATAAAATTAAACAAATGAGTTTCCCATAAATCATACATCTCAATAAGAGCCCAGCGGAGTAATCATATTTTATACTATAAAATTTTTTTAATGATATTTTCTCTTCAGTTTCGCTTAAAAGGAAGATCACAGCATTAGAAGAATGAAAGAGTGAAAGGATTAACAGATAAGAAATAAATATCGAAATAAAATGTTGATGTTTTCTTGCAAATAATGTTTAAAACAAAGTGAAGAAAAAACAAACGATACTCGGTGTGTTGATTAAAAATTGAATCGTCGTAGACAATATCCTTTGCACATAACTTCATAAATTTCAAAAACTCCTTTCGATTGCTTAAAAATCCTGGCACCTGAAATATATTCAATTTGCATCATTTCATTCTACTGTTCCTAGAAACACAACTCAAATTTGTTAAGAATAAAGTTAAGTTCCGCACATACATAATAAAATACCAGTAGAAAACTTTTTCTAATCCTGTTCCTTAAATCCTGATCCATTTTCAAAAACAATTTAGAAAAATAAATTTGAACAAGGTGTAATAAAGGAATAGAAGCTAAATAAAGCTTTAACCAATGTTCAAATTTGAAATTTGTGAACTAAAAGTGACAAGTCACTAATAACTGAACTTCATATTTTACCAATACATCGGTGAGCCAATCCACATAAAACAAGTGCTCTTTGGTTGGCAATTTCTCTTCGTTAGCAACTGTGAAACCTGCTGAAGTCGACGGATTTTTATTTAAAGTATCGTGCACATATCGGATTGAATCCAAAAAAGGTAACACTGATCGTCGACATGGCCGGTAATGATAGTGGATAGGAGATTGCTGAAAAAAAAATCTTTAAAGAATATTTTTGCACGTCTAAAATTTGCCATCCGCTCCAAAAAAAAGAAGCAAATAATGTATTAAAAAAAAAAATTAACAGACAAGATTGTGAATGTGAAATTCAATGCCGGTATAATAAGACGCCACTATTTCGAAGGTTTAAATCAAGAATAAAGTTTTTAGAAATCGAGAGAAAAATTTTCTTAATAAATCTGCAAAAATTCGTTTTTTTTTAATTTAATTCTAATATATTACCCGGCAAAAATAAGGTAGTAATACTGTCGGTGCTGATATGAATGAACTGCAGTTTCGTTGAGAAATAATGGTTGATCGTGGATATATAAATCGTTTCCAAACCATTACTGTAATACTTATTGTTTTTTTTAAAATGAAAAAAGCCATTTATATTTGATCAACGATATCCAACGTTTATTGCTCTCTCACAATAACACAACACTTTGTTCAGTGGCATCACTTATACTATCTGTTAGAAAATCTTCAAAATCTACCCTTCAGCTTCCTTGAATCTGTAGATGGAACATATTATCAATAATATGATATCCACTCATTTCTTCCTTGTCACCTGTCCTTGCGTCCCCTCAGATCTCCTATTTCTCCAATCAATGGTCATTATCTATCAGAGAAGCGCAAAAAAACAGAAGCCGTCAAATGAAACTATTGAATCCCTCAATTTGAAATTGAAAGGAGGAATTGATCGCAAAAAATTAAGAGATCAATTATTTGCATTGTATTATTTTAGTTCTGGACATTTTTATAATATTTGCTTTATTTGTTGTATTCCTATCCATGTTTAATTCTTAAGAATATTTTTCTAGCTAATACTTCCTATTAATTTCATTTACTACTGGAATTTTTCCATATATTTACAATTAAATTAATGAAATTGTAAATAAATGCATCATTACATATTCTTCTGCGACAGTTATTCTCAAATAGAATTGTTGATTGCATCATAGAATGCTGGCAAAAAAAAATTGTTCTAAATTTCGTTTCCCCGTAATTGTTGATTTTTTTGAAAGAAAAAAGAAACGAAATGTTGCTTTTCTTTATTGTTTTTTTTTGAAATATTAATGCATGACCTAATTTAATTCATTTAAAAAAATTGATGTTATTGGGGTATTCTTTTTTTCCTTTTCTTACCCGACAGCTTATTTATAATCATTATCATTATTCATTGTTTATTTGTTATAGTCCTTTATATATCACTAAATATTAAAGCAGATATCTAAAAAAAAGTCCGCATAATAATCATTTACTTTATCATTTTTGAAATAATGTCGAATTCATTTTCAAATTTCATTAAAAACATTTATTACAGATGATTACCTTATTAATGACAATAAAAAAAGGATTACATTTGGTAGAAATGATAACAATCAATTGAAATAAAGTATTTCCTTTAGTTAGTGCAAATATTTTTAATGAAAATTTTATTTTTATTTCGAATACCAAATACCGGAAATAATCGGAAACATGCTGACACATATTTTAAAAAATAGTATATTGCAACAGCTATGAGAAAGATTTATATAATATTTATGTAATCGATTTCAAGAATATCCTCCGCATTGGAATTAAGATATCCACCCCATTGCTATCCTGAATTAAATAATTTTAATTATTTTTCAAATCATTAGTAAAAATAGTAGTAACAATTAATGAAACTGTAAAAAAGAAAAGACGACGATGAGCAAATATCAATTCAAAAAAGTGGGAAAAAACATAACAATTCACGGTTTTGATATTCATTCAAATTTTTTCTCTTTCGGTATATTTTTGCTGGATAGTGACTATATTATTGATGCAATATTGATTCATACCAACAAATGTTGCTTTGTGAATTCTCCTTTAACAATTGCACTCCTCAAAGTTTCAAAATTCATTATAACTTGAAAAAAAGAACACTCATCAAACTGTTGAATTAAATCCATAATTTTTCCCATCTGATAAAGTAATGATCCTGTAGTTAGCATCAAAAGTTTTTTTCACTACTACGATCGTTTCATAAATATTCAGCAAGTTATTTTTTGTTAAGAGTAATTTATAATTTGGCAAATTAATGAGAAATTTTTAAAATCAAATTTAGTAAAATTTTATAGGCGTTGTTGAAAATAAAATATATTCAGCGTTACTTTTTATTTTCATTACGCAATTAATTTTTTGTGTAAGAAAATGTTGATTGTAACCCAATTTATTTGCGGAACATTTAAATGTATGCTGCAATCGGATGAAATCATTCTAATTAAGGTCATTTACTGGATTTGTGTTATAGAGCAGTGACTGTTTAAAAAAATTTTTTTTCCCTTGCTGATATAACTTCAGATTTGATATATTATTATTTAGTGCAACACTATTATTTTTTACTGACGAATGAGAAAATGATACAATTATTCTTTTGCTGTTGATGAATAAGGAAATTAGTTTTTTGATAACTTTGAAGTATACATGATATTAATAAAAAAATAGAAGGATGAAAGAATTGAAAATGAATAAGTGTTTATAATATTAGAATTAAAAATTCATTCCTTACTTCTTTCAATTTATCTACTATGCCATTGAAAAATTATATTTTAAATGATCAGTTAATTGACAAATTCAATTTTTAGAGAAAATCAAAAAAAAATTCATAATGTGTAATACAAACACGCAGTTATTGCAGGATGCAGCATTCATTGATAACTATGATAACCTTGACTACTTGCATTCTATCAATAACAGCGTGTAAAATTAAAGTTAAAATGCGATCGCAAACAGATAAACCATTTCAAATGCAAATTTATGTGCCAGCAATCAAAATGAAAACCGAACGAGTGACATTCACAAAAAAAGATGAAATCCGTATCGCTTCGGTTTGTTGCTCGTAAAGCATTAATATTTTAATCTATAATGTCAACATTTTTCATGTTTTTTTGTTTTTTAGAAAATATTAATTCTATTATTTTTTGCATTTAAGAATTGCTTTGAAATAGTTTGTGATTTTTAAGAAAAACTTAATTGTGCTATTAAAACACTAAACTGAAAGATGTTGAAATATTTCAGGAATTTTGTAAATTTTGCAATTAAAGTGATATACAATACTGCAAGGTTTTTAATTCAACCATGCTTAATTGATAAAATGATAAAATAATCAGTCTTATGAGCTTATTTAAAGAAACTATACTAAACCTCTTAATTATGTTTAAATAAAAAAGAATTATATTTTGTTTTACTTAATGTGACTTGAAAATTTCGAGCTTTTTTGAAAACTTAAAATTCATATAGGAAAATATGAAGTTATATTTAAAGTTTTCTTCAGATCAAAGGCGAAGATTGTGATCAGAAGCACTGGATCATTAAAACATGGAAGAAAGTAGATAATGAATGGATTCCAGCAAAAGAAACAAAGGCAAAATTTGAAGGATATGGTTCTTTTGGGCTATCCGTCAAAGATGACCTGTTGCCGAAAATAATGAATCGTTTCGCTATTACATGTTCAGAAGGCAACTGCTAATCATAAATTCTCGAGTTGAAATCATTTAATATGATGAAAACACATGGATTTTTTGATATATGAAAATGTTAGTACATTTTATTAATTTATTTACATCATGTGCCAAATTGCTTTTAGCAAACCGTTGACGGAAAGAATTTGTAAAGAATCCTATTTTATTTCAATGCTAATATTCAGGATTTAAGAATTTCTTTCATCAAATTTGTTTCACTTTTCTACATTCATTTATTGTCATCATATGAAGATGAATTTTTTTATCAGAATTAATTGCAAAACTTATAAGGCACACCGAAAATACTGCAATTTAGTTTGCACACAGATGCTATACAAATCTAAAGTTAGATTCTGTAATTAAGCTCTGAAAGAAAAAAAAATTCATGTCTGTTGGAATTATCTTTGTTTCGACAATGGTATGTGATTATCATTTTCCAAAATAAATCTTGAGAAATGATAGATCATTTTCTCGGAATGATGGTGAATGAGATTAGAAGCAACATTGTTACTTAATTAGGATTTTGTTTGTCTTAAAAGTTCTTCAGAATTGCATATATCAAGAAAGTATTTCTACTAAATTACGTACTTCCAAAAGACGGTAGGATTCTGGTAATTTAAATCACGGATCCAATCAGTATCGTAAAGTGTTTTGGTATAACTAAGGAAGCATATCAGTTAGGTAAAGACAGCTACTAAACTTTCAAATTTTTATTAAAGAAATAAAATACTGTAATCTTCCAGCCGCACCAAGCAACCTTAGCTACCAAGTTCTCGGTTGTTGCAGCTTATTTCATTTTAGGTTAAAAAATTAAATGATGATGCTCTTTTATTAGTTCCTATTAAAGAAGAGTTTCGATATTAACGGTATTTTCAGTTTAAAAAAAGTGAATTTTTTACTATTATAATAATAGCAATGTAAAGAAACAAATAGAGACTAGAGGGCAGAAACTAGGCTGACTATATATTTTGTTGATGGGATAAGTTGCTTCTGCGCTAACACTGTTACAGTGTATCTTGCGCAACAAAAAAATCAATTAAGTTGAAATTGAAAATTTGACTAAAAAAATTTCAATAAACCTTTCACATGTGTTATATCTTTTGCAAGTTAAAAAAGATTTCAAAAGTTTTTGCCTGCTATACATATGCATGTTTTTGTCCAAGCTATGAACTTACTAACTATAAGGAAACAGCCTATACAAGAAATGAATATAGTGAATATTCAGATCGTTAGTCTTGTCGGGAATATATTGGAAGCACATTAAGGTGCAGATAACTTTTACAGCAAGCTAACCAAAACAAGATGAACATCCTTACGAAATCTTACACTAAGCTATATCAAATTTTCATAGTCTAACACAAATAATATGCTTGCAACATAACCTGCATTAGTGAAAATATTGATGTTTTCCAGCACTGCATTAAAATGTGTTTAGAAAAATCACAAATAAACTTGTGTCTCCATATATCTACAATATTTCCGAAAATATTTACATATGTATTAAAATCCCGATAGCTGAAATTTTTTATACAAAATTCTATCGATGATATTACTGCCGCGTGAACTACTTTTGCAAGCGTACAATATAAAATGTGATGCAAAATATAAAACAAAATTCAATAATCAAATACCCGCTGATGAAAATACAAATTACACGAGATATAGATCAAAAACAAAACAAATGATGAATCCGATTATGATGAGAACCAGGAACTGCAAAAATGGCTTCACATTGAAAATAACAACTTAATAATCTTGATCCTCTTAAACATAGCAGTCGGCTAAACAAATGCCTAACTTTTATAAAGTATGTAAAGTGAAAATAAAATAAGTTTTTGCCGGAAGTGAAATTTCTAACAATATATTGAGTGGAAGTGCCCTGATACTTTCAAGTCTAATATAAATTAAATGCTTAACTGGTATCAAAAATTAAAAAATATTGACATTTCATATAAATAATTCAATAGAAAGTTTTATTCTCAAAATAATTTATGAAGAGGATAAAAATCAACCATCCACAACTTATTAATGAAATGAAAAATATTCCAATAAAACACACAACTATTAGTGTAATACATAATAGCGCCTAATCAAAAATCAGAGAATCCCTGAAATCGATGAACAAAATAAAATAAAAACAAACCAAAATCAGCTCTCTTAAACGCATTCCAGTTAAACGGAAGTTAAACCAAGGAAAAATGTAAAAGCTGGAAGTTCAAGATAACAAAACAAATGGAATGAAATTACCAATTCGGTTGATAATGCGCAAATGAACTATTCGGCTTAAACCGACACCAGCTTACATCCAGATTATCTTGAACGTAGGACATTGGATACAATACGAAAACACCTCCAATTAGCCCCAACGTCAATATCCATATCCAAAATTTCAATAATCCAAGTCGACAGCATAAATGACATTGCAAACAATAAGCCCAAATAACACTAATCCAAAACAGAAGCACATCAAGAAATACTGTACATCTGAAGTATAAGATAAATTAAAAAAAAACCAAAACAGAATAAAAAATCATCTAATCAGTACTTTCATTTGAAATATACTCAATTTCAAGGAATGCAATTCTTGAGAATTATTAGCCACTAAAAATGCTAATCATTCAAGTATCACTTTCAGTGGCACATTCATTTACCAAATAGTGAGATTCACTCAAAAAGAAATATACATTTCAAACTATGACATCAATTATCTCATCATGACTTGATATGCCTTTGACTGAAAAAGACTTAAATTATGCAAAAGACTTAAAGACTTAAAAAATTAGTTTTTAAAAGACCCTATTCATCGATATAACTGACCTCCACAGTATCATCAATTCCATACTGTCATTATTATCATGCTTAACCCACTTAAAGTGAGCAGGAATAAATGTTTTGCGAATATTACCAACGAGAATCGCAAACGAAGTCATCATTTGTAAAATTTGCAATAGAAGTTCAATTGAACTGGAAATCGCTTTTTGCCTGAAAATATAGAAAGTACAATAAAGATATGCTTTCTGTCAGTAATATATGTAACCAAAAAAAATGTGCAGATGTGATGGCGTTTATGTGCAACCGTACCGACCATAGAAATCAGCGGAACAGAAAATAAGGATAGATAATGTGCACTGGTAAGATCTCTTTTATTTGTGAAATCAAATGTGAAGGTATCTATTTAATCTTGATCATTAAAATAAAGGAAATGAGAGTGGCTAACTGTGAAGTTTGAGTCTGTCGAGGTACAATATATATTTAAAAACAAAAGAGGAAAAGAAATTTTACTTCGCTTCGTATTTTGCAATGATTGCTAACTCAGCTCGCTTTTGAGCTTGCAATCGTCTCTTCAGTACTCTCTGATCTCGTTTCTGACGCAACAAAATTTCTTTTAAACTGGTAAGATCTCTTTTATTTGTGAAATCAGGAGTGAGAATATCTATTTCATCTGGAACAAAAACATTTAAAAATGACGGTGAAACAGAAAAAAAAGACAGATCACCAAGATATCATCAGTAACTGGAGCATTTCGCTAGGGTTCAGAAGCCTAAAATGAGCCTAAATTAATGGAAAAACAGTATATGTATATAATTCAAATTACCTTCTACAACCGATGAGTCGTGCCTTTGAACAAGTGGCAAATACCGACGTATCCGAGAAGTAAGTCTTACTTGACTCCCTGCATCTGATACATCACCTCCTCCATTATTTTCCGCTACCACAACATCATTTAAGAAGCATCTTTTTATTCTAAAAATAATATTAGCATTATGAATAATAAATGAAGAGCATTTCAGTTTACTTATACTTCATGAAAATTTCGGCGCCAAAGTAGTGAAGCCTATAAAATAACTCAGAATCAAAAAATAAAAAAGACAGCACAAAAAATATTAGCAGCAAAGAAAAACATTAAAATTTTTGAGCGTATTATAAAATTAAATAATAAAAATTTATACCCGCAGGGAGTACAATATCCGCACTGTTTGCAGTTTTTTAAAGGTTTCAGAATCATATCACGAATATCAAATCGTTCGTGCACGGATATATGCGAATAAGCTTCCTGATTCTGTTCTTCACGCCGTTCTGCTGTCTGCTTCTTCAGGCGAGGCATTGGTATGGATGCCTCTGTATGACTTGAAACTTAGTTACGAATAAATGACGGATTAATTTTTTAGGAATTGAAATTGTTTGGCAACAGCTTTTAATGAAATGTGTCCAACAATTAGTATTTTTGGAGAAAAAGAAGCGGAAAAAAAAGAGAGTGGAAAACAATGATTGTTTTTATAGGTGTTGTGGGAGGAAATATAAAATCTCGCATCAAGTTTTCGTCACTACCACCATTTTTTTTTGATATCTAAACTGACGAACTAGACTTAAATAAAAAAAGAATAAATGAATGACCATTATGGCCATGCTGTCGCAAATTCTTGGTAGATGGTGGTATTGCTTCACTCATAGAAATCTGTTTCATGCATTCACGTTGTTCATCATCCCGCACTGTTACAGCCAAACTCTCAGCAACGTTAATTTTTAGGTTTCGAGAACTTAATTCTTCCGATTCTGTCCGCTCACTAAACTTGGTGCTTATTTAAATCAATTTCGATGACTTTATAGATTAAATACATCACTTTTTTAGGCTTCCTGTTGTGTTACTCAATCATCCTATTAACTAGTTCAAAGTCGCACTTTCAAAGCAGTAATACGATAAAAGTCCAAATTTTTAATTGTTCGATTAAATAATTAAATGGTAAAATGGAACAAAATCTTTTTTCCCAAACAATATTTAACAAACTAAAGTATTACAAAAGACCAACGTTTCTGTATCATTGATGTCCTGATTATCATCGTTTGAATCCTCCTCTTCTCGTTCTTCAGCTTCATTAACTCTATCAGGTTTTTGTTTTCTTTTCGATTTTTGTAGTTTTCCATATTCATGCATATAAATTTCCTGGAATAATTTATTCAGTAAAAAAAAATATCTGTGACTGAATGTATTATTTAATTTTAATTTTCAAAAACATTCAGAAAATTTTAATTGGAAACCAAAAATCTCACCTTATATGTGCTATTCGGATAAAGAATAAATCGTTTATGGATCAAATTGAACCAAACAATCAAGTAATTCTTAGTTCGCAATGGTTTAAAGCATATACACAGAAATAGATGAATCCAAAACCATAACAAATCATAACTTTTCCACAAAACAAAATAGACACAATTCACATATATAGACGTGAACCAATTGAAATGAGCCAAAAGCGCTAGTATAAAACGGTATGCGCAGCAGAATAGAAAGCAACACCAACGCATCCTTTTAGCTTACAGTACCGTTGAGATGCATCATGTTCCTAACCCTGCAATACATTATGTCACTGAGGCCAATTTGACATTATTTTAATTACTCTCAAGCACCAATGGTCAAAATATCCTTACAGTCAGCACATATACATCCATACATTTCTATTTAAAATAGTTCTTATGAAATGCATTTATGAATAAATGGTAAAGGACATCATCACAATGTGTGTAATAGAAATTTAAATAAAAAGAATTGCACAAGTTACACATAATTAAGGAATAATGAAAAACAATGAGCGATTTAGAACTTTCATGGTATAAGCATCTGCAACATCACTCAAAGCTATCATGTTTAAATTAATTATACTATAAATATAATGAATCATATGGCAATTAATCGCAGAAATAAGAAACCATTGACAAGACAAAAGCAAATATGTTTTCGATGTTTGCAATGATTTACAGATCTAATGAATCACATATTCTGATACAATCTTTTTATGGCTTAGAAAATACTAAATATATAAAATGAATAAGCATACCAAAAGTTCATTCACTGATCGTGCAATAACTGCATAATTTCATCACTTCGCGACATTTATTGTTCTTGAAATTTAACGAATTATTTAACTTATTAGAATTGTACTCGGAAGTAATTTCATACAATCTCTCACTTCAATGTCACACCAAATCTTATTTACTTGGCAATTAATTTCATGTCAGTTATTTATCAAGTAAATAAAATTTAGGGTAACATTTTAGTGAAGAACTGTACGGAATAATTTGTCAGTTATTGTAAAGTATCTCCCCGACATTAACTTCTACAATAAATAAATTTTTATGATAAACGGAAACTGAAAACATTGATCATCAAGTAGCAAAAGAACTAAAAACAGCCAAACATTTCCAGCCTATGTCTGTAGTCGGTGGCAACATTGTTTCGAACACCGTTCTGAAGTTGGAAGGATTTGGTTTGTGGTGTGCGGTACGGATGCTACTACTATCTGGTAGATCCCGTTAACTTCCGAGAGTCAGGAACTTTTTGTTTGGACGAATTGATGAAATGAGCGTATCAAATCCAGTCGATTTGTGGAAGCACTCTTTGTTGAATAATAATGTACCTTCTGCGGGTTCTGATGTCAGGTAATAATGCTTCTGCGATTGTTTTTTTATATGTTAAAATGATTGAGGTGAATGACATCTTTTTTACTGATTTTTTCTTTTTATCCTGAAAAGGATACTTTTATATCGATGATACGTGGTTCTATAAAGATTTTGTGTGGGTAATTCTTTTATCACTTATCGGATCATTTTCAGTACAATGCCAATATTCCTTACTTCGCCTGTCATTCCATCGTTTTCGGGTGAAGCTAGTCATTTACGAAAAATTTTCAAAGCATGGCCAATTAAAATAGAAAAAAAGGCTGTATTTTGGCCAGCACATGCCACATTCATAGCTTGCGGTACCGCTGGTATTGTAATCGGTAAGTTCCCGAATTTAAAAATAGTTAATGAAATATAGATAGTTCTCTAAGTATGGCAGATAATTATGCAATATTCTGATGAGTGTGAGTAACTAATTCACTTATCGGATCATTTTCAGTACAGTGTCAGTATTCCTTACTTCGCGTGTCATTTCATCGTTTTCGGGTGATGCTAGTCATTTACGAAAAATTTTTTAATATTTTGGTCCATCCTTGTAGATTTTTGTATTGTTAAAAAAAAACTTTTTCTGTTTTAGGATTACCATAATTTACTGAAACATGTAAGACAGTTCCGAAAATCATTAATTCTAAAAGACTCGATGTTCCAGCTTTTTAACCGTTTTCACTTGCTCAATGTGATTCTCTCAGCTACTAGTATAACATTCATTTTTAGTTGATCACTTATGATAGTTTTATATACTGAGGAAATAGAAGTGATTTAAAGCAAATTAGTATTATAATATGTATTTCAGGGATTCGTGTTAATTCTCATACTTTTCTTGGTGATGCAAATTATTCGTATGCTGAAAGTTTGCGAAAGTGTCCAAAATTGACTTGGTTGATTGCTCTTTATAGTTCTGCCCTGCTTTATTTTGGCATTAATGAAAATACTGTTACTAGATACTTATACAGGTCAAAATTAAAAGTAAATCGTGTAACAGAATACTGTTTTTTTAGGTGTTTGTAGCAATATAAACTGACATGTATCTTCTGCAAAATATATTTTGAATGAGTTATACTTATTTGAAATGAAGCGACCATAATTTAGAAGAATGATTCTGAATCATCAGTTTTTACTTATTTCTGCCAAATTTTAATAATTTATTTTTTAGTCACGGTGATCTTTGCAATACGTGTCTTATTTTGGGTAGCATAACAACTGCATTGTTAGGTGGAATCTGTTTTCCAATGATTTCCACACCCTATTTGACAGCAGCTGCAGTAAGTACTTCCATGCTTCTGATTTTTTTTTTGAATTTGTTCTCACATACGCTGTGTTAATTAACAAATCTTTTGCTTACATTTGAATTTTTTGAAGTATTATTATATTCTAGGCTATACTTCAAGGAGATGAGAATGCAATACCGAAATTAAGGAAAACTAATAATTGGCTCAGTTATTTATTTCGGTGGAAAGTTGGTGTTAATGCCTGTCGAGGAATTCTATTACCAATGACCCTTGGATTAACTGCTGTTTCTGGTGCTTCCATGTATATTCGCCTCTGGGGCAGACAGAGGTTAAATTTTTATTACCGATCTTCAAAAATATTAATTTTGAAGCTCACTAACAATTTCCACTCACATTTAAGTCTGAAATAATGAGATGCAGCAAGTTTTTAGACCACTCATGACATGGAAAAAATTTTTTTTATTGCTAACATATTTACTTTGAGATAATTGAAGCGGCATACGAATGATAAAACTTCTAGATCGAAAATTAAAATGATTTCAGGATTATGGATACTCTTTGTGTGGAGCCAGGATTTGTTGCAGAAGTGGATTAACGTTAATTTCTATGGATAGATATATTTGGTTAAGTGCGTATAATTTAGGGCTTATCTTTTGAAGCTTCTTTATATGGTATATAATCGATTCAGGCAAAAGATTTTCAAGTACTTCATCTGCAGTATTTGCAGTGAAGTATCAGTATATCATTTAAAACCAACCAGTCAGCTTTGTAAATGAGCAGCTTTAGTTGGATTCTTAACAAAATTCTGTTTTTGCACTGGCAGTTATCCGTGAACTCGTGGAGTCATGCACATCAAATATAGCAGAAACATTAAATTGGTAACATTTTAGAAAACTGAGGTAATTCAGAATTTAAATTATGTTTAGTAGTAATATTAAGTGTTGGGAAATTTTTACAATTATTAAATTGTTATTCCTTTAATATAATTTAGGAAACCGAATGCTGTAATTCTTATATTGGAAATTTGGCCATACGTAATCTATGGAACACTAAGAAATCACCTCAGTTTAAATTAAGGATATCTAGAAGTTGAAATGCTGAGAATTTTTGCATATGTTGACGTTTGAAATAATTTTTGAAGAAGATTTCATAAAAAATGATTTGTTTTCCATGTAATTTTGCTTTACAAACGTTGCTTTTGGGCTGACATAATTTTGCTCATTCAGTTGTCGCGTAATATCCGTCACTTGTTCATATTTTTTCAAAAAAATGTTGACTACGTCATCACAGGTTTTTTCATTTCTACTTTAATCATTTTTAGAAAGCTTTTTCTTGTTTTAAATTATATTTTTATTCAGCATTTAGCGAAGGCTGACGACAATTTTTACGCATATTAAAAAATTGTACCTGATGAATATAAAGGAGTACAGAATGCAACAGGTTTTATATGTATATTACATAATGCAGCACATCAGAAATATGTTGAAGTAAATCTCCGTCTGTTCAGGTTATGATAATCTCATATTTTGGGCTGTGGTAGTTTTATTTTTAAACTATTCACGAGATTAAATAGGGATACATTTGGTGAGAATTCCATTGTCAGTAAAGTGAATATTTCATGATATAAATAACAGTTATTCATTTTTATCTCTAAAAGCTTACAAAAGATATAAATGATGATTATTGTAGAAATTTTTTCTTCTTCCAAGCAAACTTTCAAAAAATATCGAAAAATGATCCAATCTTGTGATTCAATTATAAAGTTTTGAATCATAATTGAATGCAAAACAGTACGTATGGCCATGTATTTTCTGAATATGCTTACAGCATATCATCGGTCCAAAAGTAACCAATAGAGGAGTAAAGTTGGATAAAATTCTTCATCTGAACGCTGATTGGTATTAGCATTTAGCTGCGACGATAAAAACCATCTTATTTCATAGACTTCCAAAAATGAATGCAAAAAAATAGATTTGCTAAAACAGGGATCGTTATTCCCAGATGCCATATACCTTTCTATCGTTGGAGAGATAATCAATTATTCCGCCTGATAATTTCATGAGTAAACAGCTGAGGATCAATTTATAGGGCATAGAATTAGATCATTTATGCTAGTGCAATTGAGAAGCATCAATTTCACGTAAAAAGACTCTTTTACTTGCTGCAATATGCATATATATCATGAATGGTTTATTTTACTATTGCAACAAGGAATGGAATGAAAGTATGGAAGCACAGGTAATGAATAAGTTTATGAGATTAGATATCGTTGTTTACTCAACAACTTCCTCCCTGCTTCTTTCAGGCTCAACCTCCATAAATCACAATATGATCACTTGCTGTCTTCAATCACATTACTTGATAAGTCATGAAAACCTATCAGACTTATCTTGATCATCTATTCTTTTTCATCTTTTTTCTCCAACGTTAAAGGTGCCTTCCGTATTGAATCATATTACCATAGCACAATGTCATCTGTAAAACAAAAAATGATTATTTTTGATCTCGAATTTATGACATATGATATTCAGATTCTCACATAAGACAGCATGAAATTTTTAGTTACTACAGTAAAATCTTATTTGAGAAGCTTATTCACACTAATGAAGTTCTTTTTTAAAAAATCTCATGTCTTATAGTGTCGTTTCCAAATTCATTCAAAATTTGAAAAAAAAGTCAAGTAAGAAGAAAATCTCCTATCATCTTCAATAAGGAATTCAAGAGTATTTTACATTATTTTTAGGGATCCATTCTGAAATATAAAATGAAGAAAGAACTAGAAAAATTTACTTCTATAGATTAACAGAGTTCAATTTCTAAGCCTAACATAAATGTACGAACAAAAAAAAAATAAAATCCTGAGTTCTTTTTCTTCTCAATCTATTTTGCCTTTTGCATTCCATTTCTTTTGTCGGAACTTCCGTTGAGAGTTGATAAATCGTCCCTCCCTTACAATAATATCCAGGGGACGATTAAAGAACAACATTTCTCGAAGACCTTCTTTAGGAAAACTTCGAACCAATTCTAAGAGTTTCTGAAAGGAATAACTTATTCACTATTTCAACTGTTCGATTTATTCCCATCAGTTTAATCGGCTTTAAAAAATTCACTATTTTTGGCATATCTTTGAAGGAATAACTGAAACTGAAACAGAAAGAAAAGAATGAGGTAAAGGAAGAAAATGAAGTTTAATCGATTTAATAAGAGAATTTTCCGGAAGTATCATAGTAGTATATAAAATTTATAGGAGCCGGGAAAAAAAAGTTCATGATAAAACATTCTGACAGAGAAAATTCACAAATTTATATTTTTGTTTCCATTACTTTGATCAAAATTTAAATGAAAATTAGCTTACATATCGGAGAGACGGAAGGCGCGGAGAAGCGAGTTCGATGGACAGTAATTAGAAATTTCAGTAGGAGTTATAAATTACTAACAGGAAAGGTCGTACATCCAGTATTAGTAAAAAAGATTTCAGGTAAATGGTAAGTGCTCCTTGAAATACCACAGTGTGCATAAATGATTCACCCAATTACTCTGCCTGGAAACTCAATACATACTTGATACTACTATCTTTTGGTAATCTTTGCTAATTGACACGATGAGTAATTAAATCTTGTGTGAAATCTAACATACATTCCTAATAAATCCTGTAATCACTGAGCATTTATTGAATTGCTACATGAATTAGGAATGCTTAAAAATCGTAGGATATAAAGCAAAATTGAGTATCATTTCAGCATAAACGCATACCAAAACGAAAACCTTCAACAAACTTCCTTATTTTCTCCAATTGACCTCTGACTTCCTCTGATACCAGAAAATCGTTTTAATGGTGGCGACCATAGGTAGGGTCTGAAACCGAACTTTTATAATAAATTGCCCTAAAATGGTCATTTCTTCAGATGATCTAATCCTTGACATCTCTCAGAATCGATATCGACATTTCGTAGACTTCCAATTATAGCGATCAGTTAAGCGTAGGAAAAATCTTTCACCATAAGTTTATGTATCAGCAATAGATCATACTTCAAAGCAGCTGTAGATATGAAAAAGCGATTATTATGAACTGAATTAGCTCCTGTCTCGAACTGCTTGTTGTATACAAAAACCTCATAAAAAGCAATTATAAAATGGAGAAAGTAATTTACTGTTCCAAATTTAGCCAACTAAAATTATGTATTCTAATAGGGAAAATCTGTGACAAATATGATTGGCTTATTAAAAATGATCAATATAGAGAGGCGTATACGTCAAAATAACTCTTCTGTAAGAGAAATTTTTTTTCTAAGTTATAAATAATTGATGGCAATTGAAAATATTTCTCCAATTGAAATGTTTGGTTTTAAAGAGAAATAGTATGTAAAACTTCAACTCTTTTCCTAAATTTCTATTACATGCATTATCAAACCTTTCCATCGTTTCTATATTCACGAGATAAACAGATCATATATTATTATTTCATCTTTTGCAAAGGTCATCATTTGAAAATCACAGTTTAGACCAGGCCAAAAAGCCTAAAGCAAGGCAAGCAGCATTACTGGTAGAATTTTCGTAAGCAAAATTAGTCAGAACTATTTAGCAAATCGATATCATAGCTAAAAGCTATAACTAATTGTGATGTTTTAGTACCTGCTATCTGATACAAGCTGTTAATAAACACCATCACGTCGTACAGGCAAATGTGATTTGAACTCTGATATTTCCTGATAGGGACTTATAGCCAAAGTGATAATACATTTTCAGTTTTTGAGAGCAAATTTTAGAGCTGAAATTGCTCCAAAATAGAATGCTAGTACAATGTAGGCAAAAATACTGTATTGAATTTTTTCTCACATTTTTTTTTTTTTGAAATCAAATTTCCAACATACCTTGACAACATAACAAAATATCAAAATTTCTTTCGTGTAAAAACAGCAAGCAAGCTTTAGACGGTTTTTTTTTTCTTTTTGATTCCTGGCAGAGAAAACTCTGGGGAATTTTATTTTTCCAGCAGCATTCTCTTTCCTGCTAATAATGTGCTTTAAACCATTTCTAGGCTCAAATTTTCATACCACATCTTCTTTAAGCTCATTCATATAGTTTCCTATTGAACTAATCACTAGCCCTATTCTAATTTAAACAGTCAAAAATTTTCTAATGTATCTGAAAAAAAAAAGGACCTAAAGGCTGCAAAAACGTAACTAAGGATTTTGATCACTTAAACATTTTTCCTGTGATACAAAATTTTAGAGCAATTCCGAAAATATTTAGCAGTTAAAAACTGTTACGCAAATAGATCAATTAAAAAAACTATCAAAAGCTGCAGTTGGAGAATTTCTGAAAAGGGAAACGGCGAAAAAAGAAAAAATCAAAGCACCGAAAACATAATGCAAAAATTGCTATTACTGCTGCTGATTTGAAGAATTTGGCGTTAGTTATATCTCTAAAAAAAATGTTAATTAGAAAAAATGGCACAAAAATCCGCCCTCATTTTACGCTTAAAGCACATTGCCCAAAAGCGATAAAGCATACGGAAAGAGCGGAAGAGTCGGGTGGATCAAATTGAAATCACATTTTATGACTAAATTTATTCCATTATTACTTTACCTTTTT